GATTTAAGAAAATAATAAGATAAAAAAAACAATAGTTCCCTTCTCTTCTTCTTCAGTAATACCAAACAGTTCCGAACTTTCTGATTTAACTAAATATAACTGGAACATGTACTTGAATACCTCATTATGTATGCCAAGGTTTTTTATATACATATTGATTTCTATTTCATTATCTTTCAGTAATAAAATCTATTACGCTAAAATAGACAATTTGGTATAAGAATTCTATTAAAATTAATACTGATCTTTTGTGATTTATTTTTGAAATATAAAAAATTATTATTTTGATCTATCACCTAGAACACTATATATGATTTTTATAATACGCCTAACTATGCGCAGACCAGTAGCTTTTCCAATATTAAAACGGTCACATACAGATCTGTAATGAAATAAATATTTACAATACATGCTATTTTATTTCGCAAAGTTTTAATTTTGCTTACCGATATGAATCTGGTGTAGCAAGTGTCCAAAGAGCCATTAAAAGCTGTGTTTCCAAATTGACAGGAAGGCGATCAGGTGTCTGTAAATTATTGGGATTTGATTTATTTTCTAACTGTGGTCCTATTATGATCAACAACCAATGGAAAGTTTCTCGAGACATTCTATTAAAAACGAAAGAATTTGTAATTAACTATATAAATATTTATTTATAATACAGTACTATACAGGGAGGGGCATTTAAAACAGGTCATCTGAATAACTCGCTTGTTTTTGACAATAGAAGAAAAAGTGTCAAACAAAAGTTGCTTGATTTCGAGAGGCACATAATGTGATGTCAATAATTGTTTTTTTGGTGAAGGCGCTAAAAAGATATGAAGGTCACCCCCACTTTTTTAAATGGAATTATGTAATTTTTTTTAGATAACGTGAATCCTCTAATTATTGTATTTAGGGGGGGGGATATTTCAGATGATTAGAGTTGCATTGCAAGACCGAAATCCTTTCGGCACGCAAAAATTAGGAAGAGGGGACATTTATAAATCAGATTATTAGAGTTGCGTTGCAAGTCCGACAATTGTTCGGCGCGCAATTTTGGGGGGACTATATATATTAATAAGAACGTTATTTCCTACTTTGAGAAATATTGCGAAGAATATCACTACGTCGACTCGCCATCAGAGGTCTATCGATATTCGCAAATTCTCGCAAATGCTAAGACACGCGTATATCTCCTTATATAGAATCTCGATTTAATAACTTACCAAGGCGTATAAGGTAGGCTTCCACTACAATGCCTTACTGATGAGTCCAGTAGTGGAAGCCGGGACGAAATGCCAAAAATTTCGTGATATTCTTCGCAATATATAATAAATCGCAGAATAAATTATCAGATTTAGATTTCAAATTGTAATTTGACTCTTATTCGCCCTATTTAACGTGTTAATTATTATCCTCTAATTATTTTGCATATAAAAGTATTAAGGTAGAGATACCAAAAAACCAATAGTTTTCGAGATATTTTACACTTTATTTTGATACATATTGACACAAAATGTTAAATAACTCAAATATAAACTAAATAAAGGACTCTTTCTTTAAAAACAAAATAAACATGAAAATGGCATTGTAAGAGTCAAAAGAAAAGAAAATTAACAACAAATTAATACATATATTCTAAATTAATGAACTTATAAAATTAACCTAAATATAACATTAAATAACAGGTGTTAATTACATAACTAGTTTCGACCACCAGATCAAATCTGGTCCTCTTCAGATGGAACACTTGACGTTGAAATATACACAATTATGGAAAAACATCAATACATAAGTAAATCTTGTGCATAGTTAAATATATAACTGAAAAACAATTGAATGAACATATATTAATTAAAAGATTGTAATTTTAAAATCTAAGAATAATAAATTATTAACGATGCGCAAACATACCAAAAGATTTACAAATTTATACGTGAAAATATTACTTGTATCCATGTATCAATATATTTACAGAAATAGTCATAATGATAGAAGTCACACAATAAGAAATCAGTAAAAAAAATTTTTCTTAAAAAAACTTATGTCAGAAATATTCCAAAAACTGTCGACGTACATCTTGAGCCTACCAGATCGGTAATAACTGATCATAGATTGGAGCATAATCATGACTTTCGGTGGGACAATGTCAAAATTCTTGATGAGGAACCTTGTTATAGGAAACGTTGGTCTCAGAAATGTTAAATATTAAAAAACAGAAACATAGCTTAAACTTACAAACCGACACGGAAGGCCTTCATGAAGCATATATACCTATTGTAAACAAAATTTGATCTTTCTATATCAGTTGTTGCCGTTCGTTATTTAGTTGGAATTGGTCCGTCGAAGATGTTTGACGTTTTCCATGTATAATTTTATCTCAAGATGTACGTCGACAGTTTTTGGAATATTTCTGACATAAGTTTTTTTAAGAAAAATTTTTTTTACTAATTTCTTATTGTGTGACTTCTATCATTATGACTATTTCTATAAATATATTGATACACGGACCAAGTAATATTTTCACGTATAGATTTGTAAATCTTTTGGTATGTTTGCGCATCGTTAATTTATTATTCTTAGATTTTAAAATTACAATCCTTTAATTAATATATGTTCATTCAATTGTTTTTCAGTTATATATTTAACTACGCACAAGATTTACTTATGTATTGATGTTTTTCCATAATTGTGTATATTTCAACGTCAAGTGTTCCATCTGAAGAGGACCAGATTTGATCTGGTGGTCGAAACTAGTTATGTAATTAACATCTGTTATTTAATGTTATATTTAGGTTAATTTTATAAGTTCATTAATTTAGAATATATGTATTAATTTGTTGTTAATTTTCTTTTCTTTTGACTCTTACAATGCCATTTTCATGTTTATTTTGTTTTTAAAGAAAGAGTCCTTTATTTAGTTTATATTTGAGTTATTTAACATTTTGTGTCAATATGTATTAAAATAAATTGTAAAATATCTCGAAAACTATTGGTTTTTTAGTATCTCTACCTTAATACTTTTATATGCAAAATAATTAGAGGAATCACGTTATCTAAAAAAAATTACATAATTCCATTTAAAAAAGTGGGGGTGACCTTCATATCTTTTTAGCGCCTTCACCAAAAAAACAATTATTGACATCACATTATGTGCCTCTCGAAATCAAGCAACTTTTGTTTGACACTTTTTCTTCTATTGTCGAAAACAAGCGAGTTATTCAAGTGACCTGTTTTAAATGTCCCTCCCTGTATATAGCGATCTAATAATGTACTACAAAGTATGAATATTACATATATTTCCAATAAATAATTGCATTTTTCTTACCGAATATGTGATTTGAAGTCTACATTTGTTAATACAGAAACTACGTTTTGAACGTAATTTTGTACACGTGGTTTTAATATTAATGGTCCGCGTTTACCATCTATCATATTTATAACTTGTAACACTATGTCATCATCGGAACTGTCATCACTGCTTGAATTGTTTTCACTTATAATTTCAATAATATTGGACAATAAAATACATCGGTCCATATCGAACTGTATTTCGATCTTTTCCTAAGATACCTGAAAATACTAAGGTTATGTCCATAAATATATGGGTCATTCCATGCCAAGTGGGCCACTCAAAACTTTTGGATTTTTGATTTGGCTGAAATTTTGATATATTATAGTACCCATCGCAAGAAGCTACCATAATTTTTTTCAAATTTTTTTATCAACATAGTCATGAGATATGAATTATTTTCAAAATTCGCAATTTTCAAATGCCTATAACTTTGCGAAAAATAATCCAAACAAAACGTTTTCTTTTTAAATTATGTGTTTTTTCTCTAGTTTTGAAAAAAAAATATCAAGAAAAGTTTCAAAATTGTTTTTTAATTTTTTTTGTAATTTAATGTAAAAAATTATTAATTTTTTAAAGTATGACACTTTTAATTTTTTTTTTAAAATTCTCATAAAAACTTAAATTTATTTGATGATTTTTAAGACTAATTTGATCGTGGGCAAATTTTTCCTTCTATTTTTTTTCGAATTAATTTTTTTTTAATTTTGTATTTTTTACGCAATGGAATAATATGAAATCATGATTTTGTCATGATCTACAATTTTTTTATTTATTCTCAATATAATAAATAACTTTGATATTTTTACAATATTTTTTGAGAAATTGGGAGTTTTTCTTATAATTAACCCTTAAAGCGCCCTCATACCTAATAATTTCACGAAGCGCCCTGTGGGGTACTGGAAGACCCCAGTCAGAAAAATTGAGCCTATAAAGAGAGTTTGCAATATTTCAAGTCACCAAAATTCCTAGATACTTTCCAACTATCCTTCTAGTGCCGAGATACGTTATATCGTTAAAAAAATTATTGGTGCGGGCTAAAAAAAATAAAATTGTTACAAAAACATGAAAAATGACTTTTCCCAAAAAAAAAATCATAACTCAGTCAATTTTTAATATTTGTACGTAAAATTTGAACCCGTACCTCTTGAAATATGGCTCTTGAAGTTAAAAAATAGTGTATTGGTATAACTTTAAAAAAAGATATTTATTTTGGACTCTGAAGTAGGCCATTGAATGAAAAGTGGAAAAAAATATTTTTTATTATTATTTCATTATTCTCTTACGAAATTTTTTATTTTTGGCGAATAATCGATACAAAATAGTTACACAATGATTACACATGAAAAATATTAAATAATCGAAACTTTAGTCCGTGCCAGCACAATCTGTACACATCGATTTCCGATGCTTCATACACACCGGGCGGTTACACGAATAACAAGACTCTCGGGTTTTGTTATCGTCTTTTCTATTGCACATGCAGCACCTCTTTCTTTTCTCGAGAGGAAGATTTTCTCTGCTTTCCTCGGCAAGCCGATCTTTTCCGAGAATACTTCCAATTCCTATCAGGATATCTTTGCGGATCGATTCATTTGCATACCTGTTTTGAAGATGAGGCGTAACGAGATGCATGTGCAGAGATTGTAGACAGTTAATTGCAGTTATAAGGTTCTGTCCTTCTTTCAACTTTTGGCAATTGAGTAGAATCCGGGAATTAACAACTGCTTGATCGAGCATACCGAAAAATATTCGCATAGGCCAGCGAAGAGTCCTCCTTGCTACACTGTATGCGTGGCAAAGTTGGTCGAAACAATCGGTTCCGCCCTTAGTTTCGTTGTAGTGTAAAACTATATTGGGCTTTCCGTCTGTTATCTCAGAGGTACACATATAAGAAGACAATAGTAGAACAAATTTGTTCTTTTTCGGTGAGTAGGACACAAGGGTCATGTTTTTGGTAAAGCAAAATGTGGATTTTGGCGGATCTTTTGCAGCCACTATCATTTGTTTTGGAATTTCCCTCTTGTTTTTGCGCAAAGTTCCGGTAACAGTCATATCAAACTCAGGCTGCAGCATACGTTGAACCAGGGATATTGTGGTAAACCAATTATCACAGATTGCAGTGCGTCCAGAACCATGGATGGGAGTCGTAACAGATCGGAAAAAATATTCGCAAATGGACTCTTCTCTCGCAATAATCCTTGTTTTCCCTAAATAGGGTATTCCATTGATCTAAAAGTAGAGTATCATGAATGAGTTATACATTTCTGTGGATTATATATTTTTTATTTCTTTTCTTTACTTAGAGTAATATTTTAGAAGTACAGAAACTCTGAAATAAAAACTTACTAAGTAAGAAGTTGCAGCGTCGTTCAAGGTCACGATTTTTAGTCCGTACTTGTCAGGTTTGGACTTCATGTACATTCTGAACGGACAACGTCCTCTGAAGCCAAGCAGTTGTTCATCAATCGTACATTTTGAACTCGGTGTATAATACTTCTGACAGTTGGAAGTACAATCATAGCAGCAGTACAATTGTTTCGCCTGGAAAGTTTAACGTTTCTAAACAGAAGGAGATGTAAAATAGTACTTGTTATAATACATATATGGCAGAAATAATTAATTAAATAAATAAATAATTAATTAATTTAATAATATTAAATTAATATATAATAATAAAATTA